AAAGTTCCCTAATTTTCATTTGAAGATGTATTCTTTTAAAAAAAATATATAAAAAACATAAAAATAAATAAATTTATTAAAAAATATCAATGTAAAAATATATTTACTTATTTAAATATAATTAATAATTATGTATGATAAATATAAATTGAATTTACGTAAAAATATGATCAATTTGACTTGATCAAAATAAAAATTATAGATTGATTTAGACATTTTAACTAAATTTAATTATAAAAAAATATATCATAATTATTATGTATAATAAAAATATAATAATCTTAATTTTATTATTATTTATATTTTATTTATTATCAATACATTTAGAATTATTTTTAAAAATATACAAATATATTTATGATATGAGATTTTATTATTTTTTATAAATATTTTTTTTATAAATTTTAAAATATGACACATAATTTATACACATAATATATTTTATTTTTTATAAATATTTTATTTTATTATACAAATATATTTATTATTATTTATATTTTATTTTTTTTATTTATTATCATATTTCAACTCCATCACTTAATTTGACGCAATCAAAATTTATATTGTAAGTTGGAATAGTTAACAAAATATTAACATATTTTGGACAATTTGATCAAATAAAAAAATTAATACATAATACAACTTAGAAATAATATATTTTTATGTTTATTCAATAAATTAAAACAAAATAAAATATATCAATATAAAAAAAATAAATTAAAAATATATATATATATATATATATATATATATATATTTACTTGAATAGATAACTCTCAAAAGTTAACATGTTGTAAAACATAAAGTAAGATGATAAAAAATTATTAATTAGTTTTTTAAATTTGTGTAAAAATTATTTATATAGATAAAAATGAAGTCCTATTTAATAATATATCATAAGACATAAAAATAATATAATAAAATTTATCTTTTGATTTATATTATATTATATTTATTTTTTATAAAAAAACAATTTAATTATATACAATACAAAATTATTACTTTGTATTATTCTAAATATATTTTAATTTTTAATACATATTTTAAGTATTGTATATATTAAATTAATTAGATTAATATCATTTAAATTAAAATAGCGCTTAACGATACATTTGTATTTTCAATAAAATCGTAATTCCAAAATTGTGTTCAATTTTAATGAAGTTATATCTGTACAATTTTAATTAATATTTTTTTTCTGATTTCAACATTTTATAATGATTTTTTTTATATATAATTAATTCTAATACATTTTTATTAAATATAATTTATATTTAATTTATTATTTCATTTTTAATATGCACTAGTATTGATTTGATTATTTATATCACTAACTTTTTTTTACACTTTAAATAATATTTTATATCAAAGTACTCTAAAATGAAAAAAAGAAAATCCAAAACCCAATTTAGGATTTGAATTAATAATATTTGTTTTCTTAGTTGAACAAATTCATAAAGTGATTGTGATCTAATATAAAATGACTAACAAGTGATTTGGCAACCTCAACTTATTTCTTCATAAATAAATAAGTAATATTTGATTGACGGAAACCTTTTAACAGTGGTTTTTTTTTTTTTTTTTTTTCATTTGTTTATCAGAAGCACTGATTGCTAAGAATAGTGCATATTTTCAAATTCAATTCTCATCAACTTTCACCAAACCTAATCTACGTGGTTTCACAACTACACTCCTTCCATGTTCTCTGACTCACTCTAAAGGACAAACCTTAACCCAATTATGATACCTAACATCAACCGTATATTCAAATTCTTTACAAATAAGTTAATCATTTTATACTTAGAAACACGGGCAAAGTAAAAAGCAAGAAAACTTGTATCTAAGGAAACGCAAAGGAGTTAGCTAATAATGATGATCCAGCTCAATTCATTTTTCTTTGGTTACTTGATACATCACATATTCTTTCCACAACTTATAAAGTTATATAATAGTGAATTTTTAAGAAGAGTGCAGTGACTTCAGAAATAGTGAAACAATAATTAATACAACTTTTTCAAATTTGATATATGCACATATAAAATAGAAAAGTTCACGAGCAAACAAATAAGAAAGACAAGCAATAATTTTACCCATTATACGAAGGAAGATAATTATTTTTTAAAAAATGTTGCAACTAAATATTTAGAAAATTTTTTACGAGAAAAAAAACACTTCTAATTATTTTCACTAATAAAAGCTTTATGATAAGGGGAGAAAAAGTGGATATATCAAATACTCTCCGTATAGTCAAGCTTAAATTTTGAAACAGTATTAATACATGTTTTTATTATATTTTTCTTTTCAAACACATCTTTTACTTTTAAAATAAATTTTGCGTGAATAATATCAAATAAAATAGATTCACTCTTTATTTAGTTAGTGAGATGTAATAAAATTTATCAGATGATAATGTGTAAAAAGATTTTAAAAGGTGTTTTTAGCATTTTATTTTAATATTAAGTACATTATTCTTAAAAAAAGTAAAACTTACTTAAAATACATAAACCAAATTAGCAGGCAGTGATTGAATCAAGTGGAACATGTTTTCTCAATTCCCGTTGAAGACGCGTGGGGAGATGTTTGGATTGGGTCCACCTATTTCTCAATCAGCATGGAAAGCTGGAAAGTTCTTCATGGGGCTACCCATTCTTGTCTTCGCCTCTTTGTCCATATTCCATTTTTATTAATTAATTTTCCAACCCCTTTTATTTCAAACTATTCCCGCTATCTCCTTAACCTTTTCGCATCTTTTTTTCCCACACGTTTCTTTTTCTTTTTTCTCTTTTGTACATGTGCTGTTGAATGAATAAGGCCAGAAAATCAAATCTTAAAATGGCTAGCTTTCGAAGTTAGCAATGACAAATGCTGCATATTTATTAGAAAAGAAAAAGAAAAATCTAATTTCTCCAATATTCTTTTTCTATCATGCTTTTAGTTCTCTAATATCTGAATCATACTCTCTCATTCCAAATTTAAAGATTTTATGTTCTTAGTACTTTTCTTAAAAATAATACATGAATTTAATAGTAATTGTTGGACAAATAAAGTAGAATGATGATTTATTGTGATATCCTAACTCTTTCAATCCAAATTTTTATATACATTAGAATTATGCCCACATAACATTTTTCAGATATTAATTGTCCTCACATAGTGATATTAAGATTAGTTGCTGTATTCTATGTGTAAGCTATTTATCCAAATTATTTGGATTTAAGATATAGATTATTGTGTAGTCATAAAGCATATTTTAAGTGGTAATTAAGTTTAAACATAGCAGTTGAATGAATTATACTATGTTAGGAGTTTGAACTCGTATAAAATGTACTTGTGAGAAGGAAGAACATGAGAACACATAATAATATTACATCTGGTGACAATTTCATCAAACAGCTGGCTTTTTCTTCTTGGAAAAGGTAATTAGATTTGTTTACCATATTTCTTGGTTGGTTTTCTGTATACTATATAGTTTGTCAATAATAAAGTATTATGAAAAGAGGAGGAAACTTCAAGATAAATGAGCTGCACCGAAATGTGAAGATTTACTACAACCATGCACAAGTCAAAAAGAGAAGACAATATATATATATATATATATATATATATATAAGTAAGTAAGTACGATTACGAGCATTTTCTTTTTAACTGGTACAAGTAGGACCAACAACTTCATACTATTGTTCCATCTCAGGTGCGTGCTAGCTTCAGAGAGTGCACACTATTAACCGAAATAAGGTGAGAACTTTATAGTTGCTTCATGCATTAACAAGCCTTTCATACATTGAGTTCATAACTTTTGCACCATGTTCTAGTTATAATCATAGGTTTCTTTTCGTTAGACCTTGTTGAATATTTCTTGCGTGAGCATCATTTTTAGATTTGGTTTCCTTTCTGTAGTTTGTAAGATGAGCATCATTGTTGGATGTTTCCAGTTTTAGGATGCATTTGGGTACATAGATTGATTAATCACTTATTCGATAAGTTATTTATTTATTTTTTTATGTAAAGGCTCATACAATAAATTTGATCAAGAAATTTTTTGAAATAAGCTAAAAGAAACAAAAGTCATAAAATGTTTTCATAAGTTGTAAGTCCTTCCAGACTTTTCCTTAAGGATACTTCAGTATCTTTGAACTTAAATCTGAGATTTCTAGTGTAACATTAGGCTAATGCTGTAATGCCACACACTTTGATCTTTGAAACACTGTTGGTGTGTGACATTGCCACTGTTTGTTCTGATTGTAGAATGAGTGCATCTGAGGTAATAGCTGAAGCAACAGCAGTGCATGTTAATCTAAGTGAGAGGAGGGTTATGCCTCAGGAAGAAGTGATTGCTTCTTTGGAATTAAACAAGGTTGATTATGCAGTGGAAAGAAAGAGATCACTGCATGCCCGCTATTACTTTGGCATTATATTCTTGATCATGAATCTTGTTGCTTGGTTTTTCCGCGACTATGGAGAACGTGTTCTACCATGGATTCATTGTAAGCCAATTTCCTGTCCTTTTCGAATCTAAGTCCCCGATAGGTTTATATGGCAGACTCTGTCCTTTGGAACTATGAGTACGAATGAGCTTGGCCTCATTCACATTTACATATTATCATTTGTAAATATTAACTGTTAATAAGATAGATTAATTCTTATGAAAATCAATGTATCATATCATATCATATCAAATCAACTCAAATATGGACGATGTTCTATTCAAGGTGGTGACAGTGTGGAATATATGACCGCAATCGGTGGTAAGTGCAGGGTAGCATCCTTTCGCAGTGGACTTGGCGAAGTGAGGGCAATGTGAAGATCTGACCCTGTATCGCTAATGTATATATAATGTTATTTTTATTTGCTTGATTTGATTATGAGATGCTAGAATTAGTTATATTCACAAATATCATGCCATGCATTAAGGATGTAAAGGAATTTCAAGATGTTAGGCCATTTGCTTTAGTCTTATTTTTTATTCTTTTATACTTGCTGCAGATATCAAAGTTTGTGGAAACGAAGGAGAAGATTGTTTTGATACAATGGGAGTTCTTCGTGTGAGTTTAGGATGCTATGTATCTTTTAGTTATCAGTTGCTGCATCAAGAGGAATCACCACTGGATCTGTGGATATAACTAGGCAATTCTTATTCATTGACTTAGACACTAACTGTTTTTATCTTCTTCCGAATTTCTTGAAATGCAAATAATATTTATGAATTTGATAAAGCCTAAATTTCTGAACCAGATTCTTGACAGAATACGCCTATTTGTAATAAATTAATGCAAATAACAAAATAAGGTTTAGAATCATCCAACTATAGGCAATCAGATGAAAAACAGGTATTATGCACACTAGTTTTATTTGAACCAAACATGGACCGCATTTTTCTGAATCTTGCTTATTTATTGGAAATCTCAGCTGTTGATCCTCTTTATCAACTATAAGTAGTGAAAGTATAGAAATTAGGTGTTGCATTTGACACGAAGAAGAAAATGAAAGGATAGGATTGTCTGTATAATCTTTAGAATTATTGATTTGCAATAAGAACTATATTCCTTAACGATGAAGTCAGATATTTTTTTCAGTTATGTTTCTCACTACAGTCAAAACAAGGAAATTATGTGAAGGTCGAAATTCATGGCATTCTGGATCGTGGGAATTAAAGTTTGTTTTATTGCTTGTATCAATGGCACTTCCATTCTTCTTCCCTTCAGAACTTGTTCAAATATATGGTTGGTTTCTTTCTCATAATTTTGACAATCACAGAATAGTAATAATAGTCATATAATTGGTGAAACAAATCCTTTTTAGCACAATGGGTTAGCATCTTAGTTATAGTTGGTCATTTGTATTTTGAGAATGGTTCTTATATAACAATTTGGGTTACCAAAAAGAACTTCTTATACAAGTCATTCATTTGAAAAACAACTAGTCTTCAATCCATTTGATTCAGAAATCGTTCTATTTTCATTCTTTGAAAACAAGACTCCATTCTTTCTTTGCCTTTTCTTGAATATCATTAAATAAGAACTATAAAATGCCTATGATCTTGCAGGTGAGATTGCTCATATTGGTGCAGGGTAAGCCTCAGATCCTTCACTCTTCTTTCTTTCTTTTTTTTCTTGTGAGTATGGTTAATATCTTTTACACTTGGTATCAAGTCATGAATTGTATACTTGCATATCTAGTGTTTGAAACTGCCTCCCAACTTGGATAGCTTATTCAAGTTCCATTTGAAGACATATATGGTGGTTGTCTGATCTGAACATCAAATTTGAAGAAAATATTTCCAGGCTTTATTCATGTTTGATGCTGATCAGCTTGTTAAATTTTCATTGGAGTTGTTTCTGTTGCACAACTCCCAATAAGTAAAAAGCTATATGCTAAAATATTAAATTATCTTTAAAACCAAAACAAAAATGAATGTCAGAGAGACATTCTTTGATCACCTCACCTGTATCCTTTGTGAGACTTCAATCAATACCATCTGCTTAATTTTTCCCTCTAAAGATAGTTACTTACATTACATGCATCTTGTGGTTCATGTCTATTCAGATTTTTTCTTCTTTTACAACTTGTGAGTGTCATCCATTTTATCACTTGGTGGAGTAAGTACTGGACTCCAGATGAAGAAAGGAAGCACAGGTACGTATTATTATTGCTGCAATAATTCATTTATAAGCTTAAAGTCAATTTTTATATCTTGTTCTGAGGATGAGGATAACCTGCTTGACTTCTGAACCAGTATTGAATAAAGGTTATTTTGGTGCTCAATAAATGGATTAATAAAGACTTATTTACCTTTTACAAAATTCAAAAGATGCTGCGTTGGATGGTTCAAGACTTCTGTGTGATATAAAAATATCCATCACTCTATATTATTTGCTTTGGGATGTATATCAATTGTTTTCCTAATGTTTATTACATGTGAACATTAAAATTGTTTATTTTCTGTCTAAGTACTCTATATAGATTAGAAAAGAAAATGATATTGTAAAATTCTTCTGAAAAGACAAACTTGAGTTTAGGCTACGGTACTTGGATTCAATATCAACTTTATACTGCAAAAGAAAAAGGAAGAACTTGTTTAGCTTGGAATTTGACTATATCATTAATTCATCCCCCCTGAATATATGTATTGAGGAAATGAAACAATACCTTGGTGGTAGAGATGAGCTGATCCATTATGTAATGGTAGAAGTAAAATTAGTTATAGTCCACTCAGATAGTGTACTTTCTGGAGGGAGCAATATGAGTTTAAAGCAGAGATGTCCATAAAGTGTATTTATCATTATATAACATTAAGACCATTTTATATAGCATTAACCTTAATTGCAGTGTCTGTATTTTGATACATTAGCATGTTATTGAGTTCGCACAGGTGCTCTTTCGGACTTTTTATGTCAACACTATTTTATGTTGCTTCTATATGCGGAATTGTCTATCTGTACGCATCATATGCCTCAAGAACTTCATGTTCTCTCAATCTATTTTTCATCACATGGACAGCAATTCTACTTGTTGTAATGATGGTTGTACCCTTAAATTCAAAGGTACGCTGCTTTGATTACTGATTTGCAGCTAGTGGTATTTTTAATGGTTTGCAGCGACAGCAAAAACTATGATTCATGTTATTTTCTATTTCTTTTTCCTCGATGTGATATAATTTGGTGTTGAATATTTTATGGAAAAGGTAAGGTCACGGTTTAAATAATTAAAAATAAAAATGTTTTTATTGAAAAATGTGAAAATGCAGTCACCCCTATGTTTCTTAATACATTTCAGATGATTTCTAGCAAAAAATAAAATAAAATTATTGATTCCTTAATCTTAGAAAGACCCTTGGTCAAAACGTAGTTTTTGCCTTTTAACTTTACCCTTCATTCAATGAAACTTAAATCTGGTTCTTCAAAAGTTACACACCTTTTTACATTAGCCTTCTAAAAGTTTTTTGTCACGAAATTAGTCTCTTAAAACATAAAATGCCACCATATCAGTCCTCTTAAAATTTTGTCACCAAATCTGTCCTTCTAAGAACAAAAATGTCATCTTGTTCATCCTTATAGAAAATTATCTAATATTGACACAAGAATCTTTGAAGGACTAATTAATTTCATAATAAATTATATCTTTGGTGCACTAATTTGATGACCAAATTCTTTTGAGGAATAATGACGGCACAAGTAACATTGGGATATCAACTTGAGGGTTTATTATATTTTATTTCATTTTTATGCTGAATTTGCCAAGACCCACTAAAATTATTCCAATACTTAATTAGAAATGCTTATAATTTTTCTGACATGCCATTTTGTGTTATTCAGCATTGCATTGTGAGAAGCAATGGTTTCTTTTTGGAATTAATGGTTTGAATTATTCATTGAGTTTTGACAAGTGCTCTCAATTAGCATTGCATTGATTCTAGCTGGATTTAATGGTTTGGATGAATTTAACGAGGTTTGGAAAGACTTGGTACTAAATTGAAACAAAATGTTGTGGGATGAAAATGAAGCCTAAGATAACGACAAGGAATGAAAAGTGAAATTTTGCATCTTTTGAATGCATTCTTTTCCTTTAAACTTCTATATTTCTGCTTAAAAGGAATTTTGCTTCTCATATAAATCGTTCGACAGTGAAGCAGCACCCCAGTATGAAAGTTTGAACCTACCTCAATGTGATTCTATAAAGTAGTGTTTGTTATTTCACTAAGGCCAGAATGAAACTTCATATTCAATTTGCTGAAACATTTTCAGGACATATATCAAGAAGTTATCCTCGTAAGAAATTAAAAATAAAAAAGGAATAGGCAGAGATGGGAAAGGAAAAACACTCAAACTTACTCATAAACTCTTGATATTATTTCTTTGGCTTTTCTTGGTTTACTTGGTTTACATGCAAATGCACTACTAGTCATGACTATTTATAGGTTCACAAGACACCTCTTTGTATAAGATACATTAATCCAAACAACAAAACTCTTAGATAAGATAATAAATGTGAGATACATGCATAAGAAAATATGATTTTTCTAACCTGCTTCTTATCTTGTGCATGCACAAGTTAGAAAAACCAAAGAAAATATTATGAACCTTACCTTAAAATTCTTGAGCAAGTATTAAGTGAATCAAGTCTATCAATTACTCTATTTTCCCAACAATACTAACATTTTAATTTCCATTATCACAATTAAAATCTATTTTTTGTCGTTTAAATGTTTAATTGTTACAGGTTAATAGAGGTCTTTTATCTTCAGGAATTATGGCTTCTTACATTGTTTTCCTTTGTTGGTGTGCAATCAGAAGGTCAGGATTCTCTAACCCAAACATCCCCATAACGGTTCCTAGACTCTTTTCAAAGTTTATAATTTTAGGCATTATATCAGTCCTATATAATATAATTCAAAAATTTTACTATGAATGATTATGATATCAACCTCTCATTTAAGAACCTTGTAGAATGTAGTAACATCCCAAAACTTAAATGCTAAATTGTCAGGTTTCTCACAACTGAAATTTCTATTATGCAATTATAGATGGTATACGTATATAAAATTCCTTCTAAAGATGGTATGCTTATAAATCTCCTTCATGGAGTTTCAGTGAACCTGCCACCATAAGATGTGAGACAAAGAACCAAGAGAAAAACAGCGGTTGGATAACTATACTTGTAAGTTTCTACCTTTATGTTAAATTTGAAAAAACTTAGTTTACAAAAGTCCCTGAAGATTCATTCTTCCTAAAGTCTTCCATGGGTAATTATTGAGGACAAAAGTAGTAGATTTTCTGTTTTGAGTGTTGATATAAAATGCACAATGTTTAAGCAAGGTGTCTTTCTTAAATATATGATGTGAAGTTAATATAATTGTCTTTTTTCTAGCAAGTGAACTAGCTTGGGATGCATTCTTCCACTATTTGTAAAACTAAAGCTCTAGAAACTTAACAACATTTTGTTTAAAATACTTGGTAACTAAAGATAGAGGAAACCATTTTGATAGGATATGATAGAGTGATGAGATATGGTACCTAGTCTAGTCTGTCTTTCATTTTTTGCATCGCATATACCAATGCTACTTAATTGATATATATTTCTAAATCCATTTTTAATGCAGTGTTCTAAAAGCTAGCAACACATTCTTTTGAATACTTGTACACACTTATTGTGATTAGTCAATTTTTAAAATAGTCAAAGTGCTTTGACTATTTTAAAAATATACTAATCACATAACTTTTGTTTAGAAGCGTGTGTTGCTAGCATTTCTCAATATGAGATTGTCATATACTGTTCCATATGCTGTCTAGTTTTCTTGGCAGTTTAAACAATTCTACTGTCAGATTTTCATGCAAGTCATTTTGTGACTCTGCAATCTGCACTATCTTTGGATTTTTGTTTCCTATCTGTGAATTAGAATTCAAATACACATAATCTCATACTATGGATGTTTCTTTACATGAAAGCTTAAGTCATCCTCCTGTTATTTGTAATACATACTATTTTCTTAACAGGGCTTCCTTATTGCCATATTTGCAATTGTGATGGCAACCTTTTCCACTGGCATTGATTCGAAATGCTTTCAGGTGAATAATTCTTCAGAGTCTTCTCCATTAAATTCAGAAAAATTTCTGGTTGCTTTTAAACCCAATTCCAATCCTCTTCCTAGAAATTAGGGAGATCTAGAACCTCATTCTTGATCTAACATGACTACAAGATACCTCAACCATGCTGCAAGTTCAAGTAACTTTATATTTTAGTAGTATTGGGAAAATATAAGGTAACCAAAAGGATAAATTATATTTCTTTCATTAACTTCTCAATATCTAAACCGGCATTATTTAATCTAAGTCACTTCCTTATTGTGCGTGACCGATTGAAAAAGATTAGTGTGATGTTAAAATCATAAAAATCTCAGATATTGAAGTGATTTTTTTGGTCCTTTCCAGTTTTCGAAAAACAGAGTTGAACATGAAGATGATATTCCTTACAGCTATGGATTTTTTCATATGGTATTCTCATTGGGGGCAATGTACTTTGCAATGTTATTCATCAGTTGGGATCTGAATAACTCAGCCAGGAAGTAAGAAACGTAATTCATCATATGACATATGATGATTCAGTGCTTGATGTATGATATTTTTTAAATCTTATATGCTTTTTACTTCTTGCATGAACCATGCACTCATCAAACCACTAGGTGGAGCATCGATGTTGGATGGATAAGTACATGGGTGAAAGTAATCAACGAGTGGTTTGCAGCAACAATCTATAGTAAGTAAATTACTTACTATAAATTTTACTTACGTAGAAACAGTTTTTTCCTATATGTCATTAGCTTACCCTACTCTTTTTCACACTAACACTTGCATGTTTGGAAATTGTTATTTTTTGGAGAAATAATTGCTAATTTTTCAAGAACTCAGGAAGCTGATAAAATATAAGATTATTTCTTCAAAATAAATTAGGTAAAATCTACGTTACCCTTTATAATTAAAAGGATTTGATACACTCTTTTATATTTAGAACAATCTTGATTATTAATTTTAGATTGATAAATAATAAAAATAATAATTTAATTAAAAAAATATGAATAATTTTTATTTTTAAAATAACAGAAAAATTACAACTGTTAATTAAAAAATATATAAATATCTTCTCAAATTTACAGGTGATACAGTGAATGTGAATAAATTAAAGCAAATGTGCCGTAGGACAATTGTTATGCTTGAGATGTACATATAAAAGTGAACCTCTAATGCACGGATATGCGAGAACGGTTGACATATACTTTGTGTCGAATACCGATACGCATACAATATATTGCAACTGAATCCAATGCGTATCTGCCAAAATTTAATTATTAGTGATAATTTTTATATTTTATAACATTTATTAGAATATTTACTTGTTTTTAGGGATTCTTTTTGTAAAATTGTTATTTGACTTAGATTTGATCAGATTTATCATAAAATATTCAGTATATAAACATAAATACAAGTATATTTTAGTTATTATGGATAAAAATTTCTGATTAATTTTCTCATTTGGTCTCTCTTTATTTTTTTTCAATCTAACCTCTCAAAAATTATTTATTTACATAACATTTGAGTTTACTTGTATAATTTGACTAAAACGTAACATAAACGAGATGTGATGTTAATAACATCACATATTTTGTATTATTGAATAAAATTTGAGCTTATTAAATTAGGACTTTTGAATTTGAGATTTAAACATATGAAAAGAATGAAAATGTAGATACCACATAATTATCAACATCAACTATATGTCATATTATATAAATCAAGTTGGATGTTAAATGTGTACATATTAAAGAAATGTAACAAATTACTAATAGAAGGATTATATGGAAAAAAAATGATTTTGGAGAACTTGTTTGAAAAAAATAAAAATGAGGGATCAAATGAAAACATTATGAATTTTTAAAAGAACCTTAAAGTCTTTTAAAAAAATTATATTTGTTTATTGTATTGTATCTATTCATATCCGTGTAAGATAGACATCAACCCATGGTAGTAGTAATAACTAATAGAGGATTGCCATACCATAGTGAAGTATAACTGGGCAGTTTGATGATTCACCTACCTCTCCTATTCATATCTTATATTGCTTTCATTTTATTTGATTTAAACAGTATGGATGCTGATTTCCCCAGTTGTGAGACAGAACAAAGTTATGGATAATGATGGGAGTCTACAGGAGACAGCTGACTCGGTTATGGCATGATTGAAGACAAAGTCACCAAGATTCTTACCATATATATATGTTCTTCCCTTCCCTCTCCTTAATAATGTTTTATGCTTCAACCCACTTATTCTATAATGGTTGAAAGGCAAAGCTCAAGAATGAAATAAAATGATAAAATATTTTGCTTTAAGTGACAGACCTGGCTGAAATATATTTTCAAGGCTAATATAATATAGATAGTAGATTTGGTTTTTATATCTCACTTGTCCTTGTATATACACAATTCATGATTGGTTTAGCTGTAGTGGACCACAAGTGGTCACCAGTTTTTAGTCTTTGTTAGCCTCAATATTATTAATTTGTATAAGCAACAAAGTTCCTCTCATGTACAAGGTTTTGTATCAATATCTATGGACATTACAGACATGGGGTTTGGGTGGTAGGGTGCATTAAGAGAGATATGGAAAGAATTAGCCAAAATAGGTAAATCAATTCCCCAGGGACTTATTTAATGCATCAGGCTTATTATAGTACATAGAAAATCTTGTACATTCTATTTTTGTATATAAAAGTCATGAAACTATTTTTTTCTGTTACAAAGGTATGGAACTTTAATGTTACTCCCAAGTGAAAAATTACAAATTATATACATACTCTGCGTAAAACTTAGTTACAAAAAAAAAAAATTTGCTTCAAAATATACAGACAGAAAATACTTAATTATAAATTGCTCCGTGAATATTATGAATGACATATGGATTCACCATTTCTTGAAATATGTACGGTGAAAAATCACCATGAGGTTCATCAAATGCATGTTTTCTGCAAAAATGGTTCAACGTCCTCAGCGTAATAAAAAATTTAAGAAGATTATGAAATGATTATTAGGACAATTCTTCTTCCCAGTTTTCTGAGGAAAAAATATTGAACAACGTAAAAGGATTCCATGTTTGCTCAATAAAAGCTTCTATGTGTTGGGCTTTATAAAACTTGTTCAGTGTAATGTTAATTTGGACAGCTGATTGTTGACAGATAATTTTAGTAGCTTGACCAAAAAATGAAGGAAACATGTCTAAGTTGACTAGGTCAAATGAGAATAAAAAAAGTGCAAGAATATTTTAAAACAAATTGTTTGAATGGTACTAGCTAATCTAATTTGCTTAAGACACAACTAATCTACAACTTGATTTCTTGTTAATATTACCAACTTCATTACAGCCCATGTCTCACTCTCACAACTACCCCACCACACACTGCACTCCTAACTATATATGAACAAGATTTGAATTCCATTTCACTCAATCCATATAGCTATTCTATTCTATTCTCCTTAACCAAACAAAAGAACTAACCTAGTGTGAAACAAGATGTCACTAGCAATGTTTCTTGTGTTTGTAATCATGGCAATACCATTGAGCATAGCAGCAATGGACCCAATTGCAGCCACTGGGAAAGACCCCATCATTGAGTTGTACATGCATGACATTATTGGGGGAAGTAACCCAACAGCAAGACCAGTAACAGGCTTGCTAGGTAGCATATACAGTGGTCAATTACCCTTTGCAACACCAATTGGATTCAAAACCCCACAAGGTGGAATTCCCATCCCCAATGCCAATGGTGCTATTCCCACAGTCAATGGAGTCACCGGTATTCCACTAGGAACTGGCTTGGCTGGTACTACCTTTGCACCAAATAACAATAACCAAAACAATGTACAGTTACAGTTAGGACCTGATGGGTTGGGAATTGGGTTTGGAACAATCACTGTTATTGATGATGTTTTGACATCTCAACCTGAGTTGGGGTCACAAATAGTTGGAAAAGCTCAAGGGGTGTATGTGGCAAGTTCAGCAGATGGGACTAGACAGATGATGGCATTTACGGCTCTTTTTGAAGGAGGGGAATATGGTGATAGCTTGAACTTTTATGGCCTGTATAAGATAGGAAGCACTATGTCACAATTGTCTGTGATAGGGGGTACAGGGAAGTTCAAGAATGCAAGGGGGTTTGCTGAGTTGAGACCCCTTATCCCACCTGGACAAGTTGCCACTGATGGTGCTGAGACACTGCTGAGGATCACTGTCCATTTGAACTACTAAACTGTGGTGTGGATGTGTCGAAGCAACTTTTTCTATTTAATCACAGACGATTTTATGAGATTGGTCTTGTCTTTTCAGTTTGGTTGTATTTTGAGGTCTAGTTGTAATCTCATGAAACCATGTGGTGAGTTGATCTTTTTTGAATTTGGCAACTTGGCCTAGTTAATGATGGATCGTGATAGAATGGACAACTGATCAGTATTTTTAATTTGTATTCTTCACTTTTAAATGTTTGCTATTCCTTAAGCAATTTCATGTCTTCAGCTCAGCTAATCTTCAATGCAACAGGCATAATTAATGCAATAAAAAAGATTTTAAACAAATTCTCAGAAATCACACACATGGCTGATTTTTATTATTATTACTTATTCCTTGCTAGTTGCATTAGTCATCACTTGACTCACTTTGTGACAAAAAAAAAAACATTCTGGACCATTTCAAATGCAAATAAATTTTTAGTTAGATTATAATCACTAATGAGTGACGAAATTAGAGACAATTTTGGGAGACAGCAACTAAATTACACCACTTTGTGATTGTCTACCAGTGCTTATCTTCCTTGCTTAGCCACTACTGATACACGTGGAGTGACGGAACACAAAGTTGAAGGACAAGGAGAAAATTATGAGAAATGTATAAATAAAATATTCACTGAGGTATGTACGTATTTGATTTACAAGACTCGTTATACTTCGGTCCACATTTGAGAAAAATAATTTCTTAAATTAGTTTTTGATGTTGTATCCTGATCAATATTTTAAAAGATAAAAATTACAACGAAATGTTTAAAAATGTTAGATTTTATAACGTAACTGTAGAATGCTAAAAATAATATGTTGACCTATTTTTTCAAATGTGACTAATTGACAAACTCTCTGATATAAGTTGCACCAGAAAAATATTAAATTAAGTTGTAGTCAGAGCAAAAATGGTAGATGTTTACTATATCTTTTGCCTCAAAAAAAAATCTTTGTACTAAGCAATAAATTTTTATCGAACAAAATAGAAGGAAATCGTTCAAAACCATGAGGTGCATGTGAATTATGCCAAGACCATAAATTATTAAGAGTTGCTGCCATATATTAACAAGTAGTTAAACATTGAGAAATGTACCACTGACTCATAACATTTTTTATAGTTAAGTTTGCTATAGTTTATTATATATCTATGCTCTTTCTTTGTGTCTTCGTGAGTGTGTGTGAATTTAATTTTTATATGTCCCATTGATATCAAATCAAATTAATATCAGAGCTAGTTAGATTCAATATTGATTCTGAGTTTGCGGGAGAGTTAGTGTTAAAAAAGTTAGAGGAAAAAATAATATTAAGTGTGTGAGGAATAAGAGTGTTCTCATTTCACCAAAAAAAAATTAGGTTTATTTGAGAGGAAGATGGCCATAAACTACAATTTTGTTTGGTTGATCTCAAATTAAATGGAAAACTTGATTATAATTATTGAGCATTGAGGATGCCCACCTATTTGAAAGCTCACAATATTTGGAGCTTTATTGAACCAGGCTTACAACAAGGCACTGAAGATGTTACTCAGAGGAGGACCAGGTGGTGCTATCACAAATTCACCAAGGAGTTGATTATTCAAATTTTTGGCAAAATAGCATATGTCAAAACAACCAAAGAAGCGTGGAACATTTTGAAATTGTCATACAAAAGAGTAGCAAAGGCTTAGAAATCCAAACTGCAATGTCAAGCTCAGAAAGTGTGGAGGAATATTTTTCTTGTATTACAGATCTTGTCAATAAGATGAGGGTGTATAGAGAAGATATCTTTGAAAGAAAAGTGGTGGAGAAAATTCTACACACCATGCCAATGAAGTTTGATCACGTTGTAACCATAATTATATAGAATCTAATGACACAACCACCATGATGATTGCAAAGTTGCAAGAAAGCGTTGAAAGCCATGTAAGCAGAATTTTGAAAAAGACTGAAAAAGAAAATGAAGAAGCTTTAAAGAGTCAAGTAAATTTTACCAATATAGCATAATCTTGTTGAGGTAAAGACAATAGATGTCATGAAGGTAGAAATATAAATATCAGAAGTTTGACCACGTTGTAACCATAATTATATAGAATCTAATGACACAACTACCATGATCATTGCAAAGTTGCAAGAAAGCGTTGAAAGTCATGTAAACAGAATTTTGAAAAAGAAAATGAAAAAGCTTTAAAGAGTCAAGTAAATTTTACCAATATAGCATAATCTAGTTGAAGTAAAGATAATAGATGTCGTGAAAGTAGAAATATAAATATCAGAAGTAGAGGACATAGCAACTTTATAGGAATGGGTCATTGCAATTTCAATCAATAATGGAAAGATAGCAATTCCAGGCCACCTAATCAAAGAAGAGGTGAATACAATTTCAAATCTACTAATTGTAAAAGAGGAAGGGACAACAACTATAAAGAAAGGACAAATTTCAATTGCTATCACTGTGTAAAGTTTAGACACAAAACTACATATTGTAAATTCAAACAATAGGAAAATATAGCAGAAAACTAATATCAATATACTGATGAGAGTTCTGGTCACAAACTTTACTTCTAATAGCAAACAATTCTCAAATGATAAAAATATTTGGTACTTAGATACTGACTGCAATAACCACATATATAGAAAAAAAGAGTTATTTTTCTCACTAGATAAAACACTAAAATCTATCGTAAAATTCAAAAATAATACAAAGATTCTAATTTTTTAAAATGGCAAGATTACCATCAAACTGAAAGATGGTTATCAAAATTTCAAATCTTTGATGTTTTTTATGCTCCTGGTTTACATCACAACTTGTTGAGCATAGGACAATTATTAGAAAAAAGTTACAACATGCAGATATGTTCATGGCTACTGCATGTTGATTGATAAAATTGGGAGATTCATGGCCAAGGTAAAAATGACTCCTAATTCTATTTCCTTTAAAAGTTCAACATAATAAAATTCCTTGCTTTGAATTCCATTATACAAATTGATGATCTCTTTCTCTCTCATGTTTGTCGTGAGTGTATGTGAATTGAATTTATATATATATCTCATTAATATCAAGTTGGAATAATAGATATTTTTAAATAAATACTTATTTTAGTCTCGTAAAATGTTGATTAGTTTAATCTCTGATTTTATAAAAAATTTATAACTTTGCAAGACAATTTTTATTTAGTTTTCTTTTAATATAAAATGACAAGAACGAATGATTGAGTGTTTGCTGCTTAAAAGATCTGGATAAAGGAAAATGAAAATTAAAAAATAACTATGTAGACATTTTAAAATCTCTTAATTTGTTAAGTTCTTAATGCAGGGAAAAGGAGTAAAACAGTACATAGGACAACATTACGAATAATCATTAAAGTCGCTCTCAATAATTTTTCTGAAAATATATTGATAAGTTCAATGAAGTATTTTATTTTACGTAACCGACTTCACCAGTTGAAATAAGAATTGAATTTTATTGTTGTTGTTTGCCTATTTAGGTATAAATGGAATGGAACTAGTTGAAATATCAAGAAGCAAATTATAGATCGAATAAAGTTCAAACATTTCTTTTACAATTTTCATTTTTAAAAGATGAAGCTTGAATTCAAAACGTCCAATCGATTTAACAGAAGAAAATGCTAACTTGGAACAACAATAAACGATGTCATCTACAATGAAATCGTAATTTCCCCTCATTAGAGGGTCAAAATTAGCTATTATCTTAAGATTTTGGTTTAGTTGTACTAGCAACCACCTCTCCAAATTCTAACTTTCTTCCATAGCCTTGTGTCTTAGAACTAATCTGTAATAACGAAAGCACTTAAAAAGAAAAGTGGTTGTGAAAAAAACTATACTTTCTCCATGGATCCCAACACACTTAGAACCTCACTGCACAGTTACTCTCTTCCATTACATCTAAACAATGCCACTAAACACAAATATTGACTCGTTTTTTTGGTTGAGTATACGACACAACTAATCTACTTTCCTGTTAATTTCAACAACTTCATTATCATCCGTGTCTCACAACCACTCCAACACACTCTGCATTCCCTCCTATATAACCCCAAGACTTGCATTCCATTGCAGTCATCCAAATATAGAATTCGTTACCAAATAGAAGAATTGGCATCTACATCAGAAACACTTGGAAACAAGAAGGCTATGGAATCATTAACTAAAGCTTCCCTGACAATGTCCCTTGCATTAGCATATTTGGCAACGACTATAGTAGCAGTTGACCCTGTTGCAGCTACTGGGAAAGAACCTGTTATTGAGTTGTACATGCATGACATTCTTGGGGGCACTAACCCAACGGCACGCCCAGTGACAGGCTTGCTAGGAAGCATATACAGTGGTCAAGTGCCTTTTGCAATGCCAGTTGGATTCAATACCCCACAAGGTGGAATTCCCATCCCCAATGCCAATGGTGCTATTCCCACTGTCAATGGAGTCTTTGGTATCCCACTAGGAACCGGATTGGCCGGTACATCCTTTGCACAAAATTCAGGCAACAACAACAATCAAAATAATGTTCAGCTGCAGTTAGGACCTGATGGGTTGGGAATTGGGTTTGGAACAATCACTGTTATTGATGATGTTTTGACATCTCAACCTGAGTTGGGGTCACAAATAGTTGGAAAAGCTCAAGGGGTGTATGTGGCAAGTTCAGCAGATGGGACTAGACAGATGATGGCATTTACGGCTCTCTTTGAAGGAGGGGAATATGGCGATAGCTTGAACTTTTATGGCCTGTATAAGATAGGAAGCACCATGTCACAATTGTCTGTGATAGGGGGCACAGGGAAATTCAAGAATGCAAGGGGGTTTGCAGAACTGAGACCCCTTATCCCACCAGGGCAAATTGCCACTGATGGTGCTGAGACACTGCTGAGGATCACTATCTATTTGAACTACTAAAACTGTTCTGTGGAAATGTAAAAGCATCGGAGTGCTGTTTGATTACACATGACTATGAGATTGGTCTTGTATACTGTCAGTTTGATACTTTGATTGCAGAATGTATTTGAAATCTTAGTTGTAATCACATGAAACCATATGGTATTTTATTTTTAAAATGATAAGTTATGACACTTGGGAGTCTTGGTGGTGAAATTTTGAATAAAAGCAGAAACAATAAATGCATCAGACCCAGACAATGACAGGTTACCAGTAAAAGTGAAATAATCATGAGGGCTGATAGCATTAGCTATGGTGTAAACATAAGCCATAAAGGAAAAACAAAGCAAGATGGAAAATAAGCAGGAAAAACCCAGACAAAGAAAGAGAAAAATCTTACTGCATATGAAGCTGACATGTAAAAAGTGTTATTCATTAGTTCATATATATACTCAACTCTACTGGCCATCAATATGATTGGCAATGCATTAGGGGTTCATAAAAAACTTCCACCAAATCAATTCCTATACATCAAACGGAAAAGAGTAAACTTTGAAAAAATAAGGATATACACGGGAAATGTTGATCATGAGATATTTTAAACTATATGAACATCCTGTTGTTACTAGGGAATGCTACCAGTGATTATTGACATAAATTGTAGAGGGATTTCTACTGCCACACATGTCAAGCAATTAAAGATCCACCAAGACCATAGTTATACAACTATGATAGATACAAATTTAATGATGATTACCAATTTGCATGCAGATCTTCACATTTCATTTCAACACAAACAAGTGATATTAACATGAGATTGCAAGGCAGCTTCATCAAGGCCATAGAGCGCATCTATCAAGTGAATTCGCAGCGATGCAGGACCTTTTGCCAGCTTCATTCCTAGCTCCCCGGCAACACCAAATACAGCTAATGCTGATACTGTTGCCTCTAAAGCCTGGTATTTGTCAACAGCAACAAAGGCAGCAATCAAAGCAGTGACTGAACACCCAGTTGCTGTTATTTTCTGCATCAATGGCACCCCATTGTGAGCACTAACAACTTTATTTCCGTCTGTGACAACGTCAGTGGCTCCTGACACTGCAACTATGGCACCACTTGTCCGAGCTAACAGCTTTGCAGCTTCAACAGCATCCATTGACTCGTGAACACTGTCCACACCCTTGCAACCAAAGGAATGTCTCCTAACTTTAAAAACTAAGCTCTATATTTTATTGTAACGTATAATTTTAATTTTTCTATTTCTAAAAAAATTTGATTTTAGTCTCACAATTCCGCGCCAATTAATTCACAGAACAGTGTATTAATACACTCTTCACCATGTCTCTACTCAGTCAAAATTTTAAATTTACAATGCAACTAACTACCTTGACCTTTATAAATATAAATCAACGGTGTTGCTAGCATTGCTCACCTTAGCAGTGGCGTTGTGGGGTTGTGTGGAAGCGAGGGAGAGAGCGATGATCTCAGAAGCATTTCCCCGAACGACGGCGGGGTTGAAGGTGAGGAGTTGGCGGCAAGCGTCGAGGCGGAAGGCGGAGGCGGAGACGGCGACGGGGTCGAGAACCCAGGGCGTGGCGAGGGAGGAGCAGAGTTGTGCGGCGGCTTTCATGGCGGGGAACCAGGAGGGCGAGAGGGTTCCGACGTTGATGCAGAGTGCGGAGGCGCGTGGGGTGAAGTCCGGGAGTTCCTCTAGGGAGTGGAGCATGGCGGGCGATGCACCCGCGGATAGGAGTGTGTTGGCCATCAGGTCCATTGAGACGAAGTTGGTTATGCATTGGATGAGTGGGGATTGGGTTCGAACCAGCGATAGCAGTTCCCATGCCTTTCTGTCCCATTCGCTTTCTCTTGATTGAACCGTTGATTGCCTCGTCGCTTCCATTGAGCTATCGATGATTGTTTCCTTTTCTTTCTTCTATCTTCAACCTCTCACTCCCTCTTCTCAACTGAATTACCATGTTTAGTGCTGAATTTTCCAGTGAACAAATTATGACCGTTAGATTTTCCTGAAAATTATCTAATGGCTGTAATTTGATACCATTACTTTACTGATGACTCTCCACTTGCTTTGCTTTATTTGCAATCTATCTTTTATTTACACTTGAAATGTTTTGAATCGTTAAATCAGTGAAAAAGAGGAAGAGGATGATGATCCAATATAAAGTTTTCAAGGAAAATTGTTTCAGTCACATTTCTTAGAATACAATATAACACAGTTATATATCTATTCACTGTAAACAAACAATATATTATGTGAATAATTATAAAATATTTAGCCACAAAAATATTTTAATGTTTACTTTCTTTATTTGCTATCTTTATTATGATATTTAATATATTTTTATTTATTATTTTTGTAATATTAAATACTATTAATTTGATTTTTAAAAATTAATATTTTAATATTTTTTATGAATTTAATTGAAATACTTTAACAGTGTAAAATTACACTGTAAACTAATTATAGAATTTTTCATCATGAAAATTTATTAAATGTTATAATAAATACTTAAAAAATATATTACAGTATTTTTAAATTAATTAACTATGTAAATCTTTTTTAATTGACAGTATTAAATGTGTATCAACCTTAATAGATAATAAGTTTTAAATAAAAAATAAATTGTAAATCAAGTATTAAATAAAAAAATTGAATGCATTGAATATTTTAAAAACATAAAATACATTTAATCTTTATCTTTTGTACACGGGATTTATAAAAATAAGTTTTAAAACAATTTAAAATCATATGAGAATTAAATATATTCAATTAAATCTTTTAATTACTAAACATTTATTTAACGATCATTTTTTGTCTTTTTATTAAATAAACTTTATTAACTCTTCTAATTACTTTAAAAAAATATTATTCATTATATTTGTAGAGTTAAAAATATACTAACACCTAATCGTAGAACTTAAAAATATTATTCATTAATAACTCGTCCTCATAAATTGACCAACTTAATTGTGTAATTATCTTTTTCTTATTATATACATCAAATTTCATGTAATTTAAATATTTATAAATATATTATTCAAAATTTGATATTTATTTATATTTTAAAATATATTATTAGTTAAAATAAAGTAATGCAATAAAATATTGAATAATTTTATATTTTCTTTAAATTATATAAAGTTAATCTACTTAATTAGAACATTTAAATCAATGATTAAATTAATTAATCTTATATTTTTTGAAAAGTTATTAAGTGATATAAATATACAAGTTTGACACCTTTGATATTGAATTCAATCTCATATTTTTAATATAATAAATACTCTATGATAATTCTTTTCTATTTTTATTTTATTTAGGTTTCAAGGAACATTTTTGTGTATTTGAGTATGATATCTTGTAGAATTTTAATTTTACAACTTCCTATGTCTTCCTCCACATAAACGAGAATGCATCTTTCGTTGAATCTTACAAATAACATTATAGTAAGAAATGATTCTAATACTTGAGGTTCACACTCAACCTAAAGAGTCATTATAGAATACAGATTCTCTCTTCACTCGTTTGTAGCAAAAATTGAACATCTAGTGTTATTTTTACTTAAGCAAAAATAAGCTTGCTCAAGTAAATTTTAAGAAAATGACAAAAAAGTTAAGAAAAATATTCACTGAAGCAATTTTTTTCAATTCTCTAGTAGCGCTCTTATTCACTTAAGCAACTAATAGTATCTCTTACCTTATGTAAGATCCACACTTAATATTTAATGCCCAATATGCAAAAGGAAATAGATTAACTTCTATAACATAAAAACTTAAAACATACCGATAAGTACTTTGCACAATTTTACTTGCCAGTGTCTTGCTTAGCCTTGATAGTCTCCTTAATTATACAATCATATTGTATATATTCATATTCTCATGTTGCTTTTAGAAATTAATGTACACAGTGATGAGTATAAGGTACTCAACGTCTAGAATATCACTCTTAATGCATCTTATAAGCATCCTAATCGGCTCCAAAAGCATTTGCAAGAGGTTATTACAAATAGGATGTTTTAAGACACAGTTCCTTATCATGTTTAATGTTAATCTTTAGACAATTGTACTAGTCTAAGAAATATGACCTAGACATCTTGTCATTCTCAAAGATAAATTTCACTTAGTTTTAAATTAAATTTGGCTATTACTTGACACTTATTATTAAGGTTAAAAACATACTTTTTTTTATTGTATTTCATAAAACTCTTGGATAGTTAGGTAAATAACACTTATTCTAATTTACCTTATAAAATGATGTCCAACTTAGTGCATTATATTAGTTTTATCCTACTTAGTGTCGTGTATTTGAATATATAAATTTAATATTTTATATTAATAAAAATTAATATTTTTAATATTTAATTATTTTTTATTTTTTAAAAATAAATTTAGGCTGTCATTGGCCTGCTTTTAGCGGGTTAAAGCAAAATGAGTTAAGCAAGCTAATAGATCAATAACATTCAGCTCGACTCGTCAATTTTATTGAGCTAAATAGATTGGCTCGTTGAGTCAGACTCATTTTAATACCTCTAATTAATAGATTTTTTAGTGAGGTCATATTCATATTTCATCTAATTTTAAATTAAATTTAGCTATTATTTAATATTTAGTTATTATGGTTGGAAATATATTTTTTTATTATACTTCATATAACTTTTAGATAGTTAGGTAAATAACTCTTATTCTAATTTAGTTTATAAAATAATGCCCAATTTAGTGCATTTAGATGTTTTAATATATTAGTTTTATCCTATTAAGTATCATGTATTTAAAAACATAAATTTAATATTTATATTTTATTATCTTAATGTATTTATGTTTACAAATTCATTAAACCATTTTAAAAATACACAAACATGTATTCCATTCATAAATGTGATAGATTATTTTGGTAAATATTTATTTTAGTCTTAATATTTGTATTTATATTTACTATAACAACCCATTTTGGCAAATATTTTGCAACAATATTATTTTAATAATTTATTTTTAAAAGCATATGATTTTGATAAATTGTTCCTATTCATACAATTACAGTTGTATATCGATCGCTGAAATTACGACAAAGTAGGCACAAATAAATATAGTCACAATAACAGTTGGAATCTGGATCTTTGCATTCAAAATTTTCATTATATATATATATATATATATATATATATATTAATTTTTAAAATAAAATAAACGGTAAAGATTCGTTTTTTATACACACTCTAACTGAGGATCCATACTCTTAACGGTTGTGACGAAGTTATAAAAAGTCTCAAACTAGAGTATTATGATTGCTAATACAGTTGCAAACTGTCATTTAAATTTATCTGAATATGCTTTCTTCTCTTACTTAGTACGTAATTAGAAAAAGATCTCCCCCCGGTTATTGTACTTTCTATATCGTTCAGTGAATTAAGCTTTAGTGATGTTATAACTTTCTTTACATTTTAAAAGTCTTTAAAACTTGTTTAATAATTTGTTGCTTATATTTTTTTATATAAAAACATGATTTTTTTACCATAAAGAAACCACAAAATACATTTTTCGCAAAATGCAAGAAACATACGTTTATTAACAAGCGTTACAAAATATTTCATCACCACATTAGAAACAGTGAAAAAGTTTTTTTTTTTTTTATTTTCAAAATTTTCCAGAAACGGCTTGTTTTCTAAAAAAAATAAGATTGAATAACCAAATATATTCCCGCTATTGTTTCTATTTTCGTTGAAAATGAAAATGGGATATGATAAAACCAAAAAGAACCTAAATTATCTTTTGAAAATTTTACACCTGGCAAGAGCCATGTGTCTCTCCGCGGTACTGAACCCCCAACCTCTTTAAGGATTATATTTTCAGATCTCCTGAATCCATACTCCCTTGCAGTTGATTTCCTTGTTTGGTGCTTTCTTTTTTATTAATTTTAAAAAATTTAAGGTAAGGAAAAAATACCATACAAAAATGGGTATTATTATTTTAATTAAGGAAAGGGAGTATGCACCACAGGAGAGTGAAAAAAAAAATCCCTTTTTATGGAGGCCTCCCTAGTGAAAATTCACCTGTAATGGCATTTAGCCTATTCATGGAATGTAATGACACAGTTCCATTCCACAGGAAATTGACTCCATTACAAGCATCACGCAATTGTATCTAACTGGGTGTCTTGATGGGACTCAGATGTACTATTGCTTTCCTTCCAGTCTTTTAGCCCACAGGCTTTGATCAGCTGACTCGCAGATTGGGAACCCAGCTAAGGCACACCATCTAAAATTCAACAATCCAACTGCAAGTTCATCTTCAGAATCTTCAAATAATTTGAGTATCTGTGACTCAACATCCAAATCTTCAGCAAGGATGAATTCGTTCACAAAATTTTTCTTCTCTCTAAGTATGTTGCCATCTTCAGACATCATACGCAAACTTAAAACCTGCAATGCTTCAATTGCTGTATTGTGAAAACCAGAGTTTACATATGCAGAGAAAACATAGCCGCATGTTGCTGGATCAGGTTGAATTTTCTCTCGGTGCATACACTCCACAATAAACTCAATTACATCGATCCTTTCCTAATTCATGGAAGAAATTATAAGACAACAATTAGGACATGTTCTAAATTTTTCAGCATAAATGGACTAAAATAAGCACAATTAGGCTTTTCTGATATAGAAACTTTATTTTCCTTGAATAACAAGGAGTAAACAGTGTGCAGATATTAGAACCATTATCAAACATGAAAGACAATTACTAGGCTTAAATAAAGTTTTGGTCCCTCAAAAATTCACAAATTTTTCATTTGATGTCTTATTTTAAATTTTTTCAAACAAATCTCCTAAAAATAATTTTTCTTTTCTATGCAGTTCCTTTATTCATTACCTTTTTCTAGTATGTACCTCAGTAACATCCAACTTGACTCAATTACATAGAGTTGACATAAATGACGATGTGATATCTACACTTTCATTCTCTTCATATTTCCAAATCCCAATTTCAGAAGCTTTAACTTCATAAGTTAAAATTTCATTGAAAAATACAAAAGATGTGAAGTTATCAATACACCTTGTTTATGTTATATCTCAATCAAATTATGAGTCAACTTGAACGTTATGTGAGCAAATAATGAAATAAGTTATCATATTACTAATAAAGGAAGTAAATGAAAATTAAAGACAATTTTAAGGGACTAGATTGAAAAAATAAAAAGGAGGGACCAAATGAGAAAACCTTATTTAAGGCTTAAAGCCCAATTACTATAGCCAAACACCAGCAGTTTCTACAGAAAAATTTGTATAGAATGAAATGGCATTGTTATTGAAACTTGGATGGACTGAGTCATCCACTTTGAATCATAATCAATTTTTAATGGCAGCATGGGATTGCTCATTTCATAATCAAACATAGTTGGATACAGATTTTTTTTCTTCCATCATTTATCCCCTTTCAATACAGAAATATTTTAATATGAAAGGTGAAGTACCTTGTAACATGCATGTCGAAGAAAAGTATTAAACAGCAGCACATCAAGTTGGATGCCATCCAATATGACTTGATTCAGAAGATTCAGGGCTTCAATAAAATTCTCATCTTCCAACAAAATCTGATGCGAGCAAACTCATTATTTAGAATACACAAAATTCTAAGAATAAATTTATAAATTGTACGACTGATATGAACAAAGAATAAAGATATCAGCACATGCACAACGGGCACTGTACAGAAAGATACAAGCATCACTGATAACCAAACTTTCATAATGATTAGAAGTATGATTTTAACACAATGCCTATTTTATTTAGTAAACGATCCTAATTCTGCACAAATTATGTGAATAATAATCTGCAATTTATATATCAGTAGAAGCATATAACACCAAATGCATGCATTTGTCACTTGCAGGCTAAATAGATGACCTGTGGAAGGGAATTAGGATGTTTACTAGTCCAAAATCTCTCCATTTTACTCTTTTCATATAAATCAAGTACAATTGCAAAAAGTTAGACAAAAAGATAATACTTTGGACTGCACTGTCAGATTAAAAGGGAAGAACCTTAATGAGAGCAGTATATGTACAAGTCACTGGACAAAACCCTTCCCGTATCATCCTTGCAATCAGCAAACAAGCAGAATTGTAACTTCCTAGGAGGCTACAACAGTCAATCATTATATTGTATGTTTCAGAATCAGGGTGGCAGCCACATAACTTCATCTTCTTGAAAATTCCAACCGCCAATTCACTCTACATTATCAAATGGGAAAACCTCATATTCCAGCCAGACATACATAATCACACCTACTACAAAAAGTAGATGTCATGATAGAGAAAGTAAAGAGGTGTGAATCACTCACTTCTTTGGCTTCAACAAGATAATGCAACACTATGTTGTACATATCTGATCCCAATGAAGGGTTTCTATGAATGAAAAGATTCTCTGCCACATTTAAATATTGGATCATCTCTCTTATCATCCTTTCTTCTCCAAGGGCTTTCAACTGAAAAGAATCAAAGGACATAGCCAATTCATAAGCAATGTAAATGAACAAGATACCAATTCTGTCCTATCTAATCCAAGTGATCTTTGAGAGCCCTGAAACATAAGTTTTACCAATAACATTAGCATTTTACTTAGATCTCTCATTAGAATGCTCACAGAAGTGTGTGCTTGTGTGTGTATGGAGGAAACACAACAACAACAACAACAAAACCCTTTTCCTACTGGCTAAGGTTGGCTACATGGATTGGATGACAGCATTGTGTTCTACCAACAACCAATTTTTCTAAAAGGCCATTTGCGTCAAGGTCTTTTTTAATGGTTTCAATTAAAATCCTTTCCTTAGTCTTCCTTTACTTTGTTTATAAGGTCATCCTCCATCAGATTAACTCCTCTTATTTTTTTCTCCCCACATGGCTATTCCATCTAAGGCAAAATTCTGTCTTTTTTCCTCAACAGGTGCTGGTTCAACTTTCTATCACATACATCCTAAACTAATTTTTTCTTGAATGTCACTCGTCCATTCATCCGTATCTACTCTTTGCTGCCAATCATTCAGCACTACAAGGCATGTGGCTGTTCACTAAAATTTTCCTTTGACCTTGCAATGTAGATGTAGTACTAACTAACAAAACATTTCCCCCCCCGCCCCCAAAAACAAAAATCACATACACAAGTTTTGCATAGCTTGGAGCACAAAGAAATCCACATTAACTTGTGGAAAAAGGAAACATGAATTGAACTCACCAAGTTTTTCATTGAAAGATGACTGTGCTGAATGCAATTTTTTGCCATTTCCCTTTCTATGGCTCTTATTCTTTTAACAGCATCCAATTGTGACAGCACATTACTGTCTTCATATGGGGCATTTACAAAACCAAATAAGGAAAATAGAAGCTCAAATGTCCTGATATTAGGCGCAATTTTGTTTTGCTTCATTTTGGCGAACACTCGCACAGCACGTTCAGGTCGATTCTGCAAATTTTGATTAGATAAATAAGCATAAGCCATTAGAAGCTCCATAATGCAAGAGAATTACAGAAACCAAACCTTGAGTCGGCAATAAGAGAGGAATTCGGTACAGATAGTTCAGTTATGAATTACATTTTTTTTTGTCTTAATGGGTGCTATACCATGCAGCCCATTGATAATGAGTTAACATACCATTACAACAAATCCAAGCCAATCAAACAGTAACCAACCACATAATACTAACAGAAAGACATTATTGTTTGAAGGCACCTATTTTATTAACCATGCTAAAAATTTATCCGAAGTGTAGAAATATGAATGTACAGTACTATAGTGCATCACCTGGTACCACAATATTATTCAGAAATATAAAATAGGATACAGAAGTATTCATATTGGACTGACTGATTCATATATTTTACGGTTTTTCTATCATCTTTCCTCTCTCAACATAAAAACATTCCAATAGCTATTTTTGACAAGATTCTTGCTAAAGAATATAAATGGGTCCTTACATTAACTAATTTTAGTCTTGCAAACAATAAAATGGTAAGAAAATGAATTTTGGTTTGAAGTTTCATATTTAGACTAACCAGTACATCGCATGATGCTAACAAAGCATTATAAGGATATGGATATAGACATTCAGAAATCTGATTCAACAAAGCCTCCGCTAAATCTAGTTGCAGTGCTTTGCTGCAAGTGACAGAAAGTGTTGCTAGAGTTGAATCATATGGCTTCAAATTTTTCTGCTGCATTTTTTCGAACTGCACATAATATGAAATAAATATAAGGACAAAGGAATTTTTCTATTATCAAAACGAGTATCAACAGACACAATATCAGAAAGCTGTGTCACAGCTCATCTCACATTCAAATTCCATTTTCACTGGACTTCAGGGTCTGTTGGACCTACACTTAAGTGGTTGAAGTTTCTGGACGGAAGTCACGGAACTCCCACTGATAGCAGTTTACTCAGAATAAATTTCAAAAAGTAATAATAGATAAAAACAAGAAATTCAGAACATAATGATCGTAATCGAACTCACCACTTCCATGGCATCCTCCAAAGAAACAAATGCTCTAACGATGCCATCATATGTAAGGCTGGATTGCTGCAAACCAAGATTTTGCATCTGAACAGAGAAGTGCCCTTCGAGATGTTAAAAGATATTAATCCAAATGAAGTTTTCAATTGATATAATTCCCTTAAATTTTCATAAATACAATATATTTATGCTAAAAAAATAGGGAAAGGAAGGTGTATAAGAACACAGTAAGATTGATAAGTAATTGAGAATCAACTAATAGCAGCTTTCAATAATTGAAATCTTAGGGGTTGGAAGTTTGACAAAATTGATATTTGACATAATACTATGTAGAGAATCTTTCACAATTACAAAATTTAGGAGAACAAATAATTTAGTCTACCAATCTTGTGTTACGTGATGCATTACGATAACATGAACAAGCTTAGTTGAATATATACCTGTAACATAAGCTTCCTTGCAAGCATATAATTCTTTTGTTTTGCACAACCCTGTATTACATCATTAAAGGACCATCTCAATACCTTCATAGACAGTGAGTGTTTTTGTCCATTTAGCCCATCTATTTCAGCACTCTTAGCATTTTTATTTGCCGCAAAAATATTTTTCTGCTCTGTACTTGCAGAAATACTCTCTGGCAAATACAAAAGAGGAGGGTGTATACAAGAGCCCAGTTGTTTCTTCTCCTCCAAGTCCAAAATAGTTGAGCCCACCTCTCTATTTGAAGGAACAGGTATGTCCAATCTTGTAGAATACAACTTCCCATAAACTGTTTCAGCAACAGAAATGTTTCCCATGATGGCTAATGACACCATTTGTTGTAGTGTTTTATACGCAGATTCTAAATCTCCTAACCTTGTAAGTGACCCAATGAATTTACGCAGAGCAATGATACTCAGACTGTAGTTTTTAATATACTCCTGCCAAATACGATGGGCTGCAGGCAGGTTTTTCTGCAAAACTGCAAGCTGAGAACAAGGGAAGATGAATAATACTTGACATTTAAAAAAAAACTCCACATTCAAACAAAGCAAACTTGTTTCAAAATATGGCTACAGCAATAAATTAACCACATAGTGTTGTTACTTGATTCCAGACCATTTATGATATCATAAAAGTTAGCAATACATAGGAATAGGATCATTTCTTGAAGTTTTATTTTAAATCCACTTTCACTAGACAAATGGATTGACAACATAAAGACAAATGAGAGGGGAATTATATTATGAGGCAATGGCCAAGAACATATAAGATCCATTTCCTTGACATCCTCGTCCCTCTTTCTACGAGATAAAGGAAGGGAGAAAAACTGATGAACAAGTTAAAGAATATAACAAAGTGATGATTACCTATCCTATGAAAATATAATATCTCTTCTGATAAATGTTATGGTACTGAAAATTGTCTGCAAGGCCGAAGGACAGAATATCTCCTTTGAGATGATCAGTACTGTCTACTGTGTGATTATTGGTAACAGCATGGGAAAACTATTTTCCTGATTTTCAAGGCTAAATTAGCACTCAGTTTTATTCCTCTTGTACCCTATTTATACCACTTTTGTATCCTTAGTTCAGTGAGATAAATATACAATGTATTTCCGCATGGTATCAGAGCTTGATCTGAATCATCCTAACCTAGTGCCACCAACCATGGGAGAGAACAAGGAAGAAGGTTCAACTACCAACTTGATCGAAGGACCTGCTCTTGCGATTACTAGTCACAAATTGAAAGGCCAAAGCTATATCTAATGGGTATGGGCAGTCAAGATCTTCCTTCAAGGAAAAGAGAAGGAAGATTACATCACAAGAGACTCCAAGAGTACTATAAAGGGGGACCCCAACCACAACAAATGGCAATTGGAAAACAGTCTAGTCATGTCATGCCTCCAATGTGGACAATACGTCTGCAATGTTTGAGATCAAAAGCATACTCCGTGACATGCGACTAGGCGAATTCTCAATCACTGAATATTCTAGTACACTTCGTCAACATTGGCCGCAACTAGACGTACATGAAGAAGTTAAATGGAACTGTACTGAATATAAGAAGAAGTACAGAGAACAAGTAGAAAAGGATAGGATCTATAAGTTCCTATTGGGGTTGAACACAGAACTTGATGAAGTCTAGGGGAGAATCCTCGGAAACAAACCCCTTCCTAAAATTTGGGAAGTATTCTCGAAAGTAAGAATGGAGGAGAGCAGGAGGAAAGTGATGCTTGGGAAAACCATCACAACCCCATCCATTGAAGGATCACCAATGACAGCAAAGGGGAACATTGCAGCCCCATCCATTGAAGGATCAACAGAAAGGAACCTGTCACGTTTCTTTCAAAAGAAAATCGGCCATGGTGCAATCACTGTAAGAAAACAGGTCACATTAAGGACACATGATGGCACATTCATGGTAAATTTCATAGCCAAAACAAACCAGAAGCCGGGACAGCAGAGGCAACACAGCTGGAGTAAATACTGACTCATCTCCCTTCAGCAAAGAGCAAATGGAAGCTCTACAAAAAACATTCTTCAGCAAACAATTGGTACAGCCTCAGTAGCACAAAAAGGTAACTTCCTGCATGCCCTAAATATTAATGTTAAGATGTCCCACATTGGTTAGGAAGAGACAAAATACTCCTTATAAGGGCTAGGGTAGTCCTCCTCCTATGAGCTAGTTTTTGGGAGTGAGTTAAATCTAAGTTTTTTAACATAATATCATAATGTTGGGCTACCCACAAATGTCCAATCCTGTTGAGCCACCCGTGCAAATGTCTAGTCTTGCAAATTTCACGCACTAGATATCTAGTCCTAGGTGTGAGGGAGGTGTGTTAAGATGTCCCACATTAGTTAAAAATAAACACAAAATACTCCTTATAAGGATTAGGGTAGTCCTTCTCCTATGAGCTAACTTTTGGAAGTGAGTTAAGTCCAAGTTTCTTAACAACTAGCAAGGAAAAACCAAAGACATAAATCATTGACTCAGGAGCTTCAGATCACATGAGTGGAGACTCAACTATGTTTAATAACTATTCTCCATGTCCAAATGATTTCACAATTCGAATAGCTGATGGTACTCTTTATCAGTTACCATCTCACAAAATATTACACTAAATTCAGTCATTTATGTGCCTAAACTTGACTATAACTTGCTATCCATTAGCAAACTGACAAGAGATTTAAAGTGTCACTAAACTCTTCCTTGACCTATGTGAATTTCAAATTTTGGAGTCGGGGAAGACAATTGGCAATGCTAAGGAATGTGCTGGGCTATACTTCCTCCAAGTTGAAGAGTCAGAAACAGAACCCAAAGCCAGCTCTTATGCAGCTATTCTTTCAAGTAGTGAAGATTCTGTAATGTTATGGCACTATAGGCTGGGCTGCCCAAATTTTATGTACTTACACAAAATGTTTTTGAAAACCAAAAGTTATTTCAATGTGAGATTTGTCATTTGTCCAAAAATACAGGCAGCACCTATCCACCTCAACCCTATAAACCTTCTCAACCATTCTCCCTAATTCACAGTGATCTATGGGTCCATCATAGGTCAGCAATATCACTGGATTGAGATTGTTCGTTACCTTCGTTGACGATCATACACGGGTCACCTAGGTTTTCCTCATGAAGGAGAAATTAGAAGCTAGAAGAATATTTGAATATTTCATACCACAGTACAAACCCAATTTCAAAGTAGAATTAAGGTGCTGAGAACTGACAATGGCCGCGAGTACTATCACTTTGCCCTAAATTCCTACCTTTAAAAACATGGAATAATACACTAGAGTTCATGTGTACATACCCCTCAGTAGAACGGGGTTGTTGAGAGGAAGATAGACATCTCCTAGAAGTGACCAGATCTCTCGTGCTTGCCAAAAATGTACCCAACCAATTTTTGGGAGTTGTCCTCTTTGCAACCTACCTCATCAACAGAATGTCCTCTCGGATCCTCAACTTCAACACCCCCCGCCCCATTCCACTCTCCAAACCTTATACCCAATTAGTCATATCCTTACGTCCATTCCTTTTTGAAAATATTCAAATGTTTAGTCTTTGTCCACAACCTAAAACCTATCGCAGCCAACTTGACCCCAAATCCATAAAGTGTATCTTCCACAGTTATTCTCCTCACCAAAGGGGCTATAGATGCTATGGCTCCCACACCAGAAAATTTTACCACACTATGGATTTAACCTTTTTTGAAAATCAGCCATATTACCCCAAAGTTGGCATTCAGGGGGAGCAAACTTATCCAACTAAGGTGGTAGAATCCCAACTTTTGGGCCCAAATACAGAGCCAGATGAGGCTGCAGTAGAAACTGAACATGAAAGCCAAAATATAGAGCCAACTGAGGCTACAGCAGAAACTATAGAACCATCAAAAAATGCAGAAAAAACTGAACAAGAAAATGCAACAGAACTTGCATGGGAAAACAACTACACAACATACTTCGGAAGGAGAAGGAAGAGAGTAGAGTCAAACACAACTCCAAGGCAAAGCCATGAATCCACCCAAGCTCCAGAAAATGAGATTTCCCCAGGTAATATTGTTCCTAACCCTGAACCTGTTGATAACATTGACATTCCCATTGCCTTAGGGAAAGGGATGAGATCTTGCACTCAGCACCCCGTTGAGAAGTATATGTCCTACAGAAACTTATCATAGGAGTATAGGACTTTTGTGGCAACTCTTGACAACACACATATCCCAAGGAATATTCAAGAGGCACTTCAACAACCTGAATGGGAAGTAGGTATAACAGAAGAGATTCAAGCTTTGGTTAAAAATGACACATGGGAGATCACTACTCTGCCAGAAGGGAAGAAACCGGTTGGTGCAAGTGAATATTCTCCATTAAACACAATGCCAATGGTAGTATAAATAGGTATAAAGTCTAGCTGGCGGCAAAGGGGTTTACCCAATCATATGGAGTGGACTACGAAGAAACCTTTGCACCAATGGCCAAACTCAACTCAGTCCAAGTCATTCTCTCTTTAGCTGTAAACTTAGACTAGCCATTCCATCTAGACATCAAGAATGCCTTCCTAAACGGTGAGCTAGATGAAGTCTATATGAAAATTCTCCTAGGACTTGAATCATCCAGCACATGAAACATGGTGTGCAGGCTTCAGAAATCTCTATATAGCCTCAAGCAATCACCCAAAGCACGGTTTGATAGACTGACTTGAGTTGTCAAGGAAGACAAGTTTAATCAATGCCAATCGGATCACACACTGTTTGTCAAACATTCCATGGAAAGGAAGGTAGCCTTATTCATTGTTTATGTTGATGATACCGTTATCACAAGAAACAATTATAATCAAATCAAACATCTGAAGGGACTCTTGGCCAAGGAATTTGAAGTCAAGGACTTAGATCAGCTTAAGTATTTTTTTAGGGATAGAAGTTGCTCGAACGAAAATTGGTATTTCTGTGTCACAAAGGAGATACACACTAAACTTGCTTCAAGACACCGGTATGCTTGGATGCAAGGCAGTCAATACTCCCATAGAACCAGTAAAAAGAAGTGAAGAGTGCACCAGCTGATAAAGATAGATATAAAAGCCTAGTTGGGAAGCTAATCTACCTAACTCACATTACGCCTGACATTGGGTTTGCTATGAGCTTGGCTAGTCACTATAGGTCTGATCCAACTGAGACCGTCATGAAAACTGTGAATAAAATCCTTCAATACCTCAAGGGTACACCAGGCCAAGGGCTCTACTTCAAGGACTCAAACAGAAGCATTGAAGTCTATACAGACTCGGATTGGGCAGGATGCTCTTCTGACCGAAAATCAACTACAGTGACTTGGAGAAGCAAAAAACAGTCTGTGGTACCGAGTAGTGTAGAAGCTGAATTCAGAGCTATGGCTCAAGGTATTTGTGAAGGAATCTGGCTTAAGCAGATGTTGAATGAAATCAGGATTCCTATCAACTACATAGTGAGAATATTATGTGACAAGGCTACTATAAGCATTGCAAAGAACTCAGTCCAACATGACAAGACAAAATATGTGGAGATTGACTGACACTATATTAAAGAGAAGATTGACCATAATATTATAAGTGTTGATTATGTTCCATCATGCAAGCAGACAACAGACATCTTAACAAAGGCTCTTCCAAGGAACATGTATGAAAACATAAGATCCAATCTAAGAATGATAGACATTTGCCACCCAAATTGAGGGGGAATGTTGAAGATTAGCGAAATATCATGCACATATCAATCAGAATCACCCGATTTTGATTTGTACAATCTTTTATGATTTAATATAAATAGTATCAATTTATTTCCTGTCTTTTCCTTATTTAGGTACAATATTTATAGGAAAAATTATTTTCCTGATTTTCAAGGCTAGATTAGCGCTCAGGTTTATTCTTCTTGTACCCTATTTATACCACTCTTGTATCCTTGGTTCAGTGAGATAAATATACAATATATTTCCACACTTTATTTTAATAGGTAAGATGTTTTTAAAATATGAAAAAATATCAAATTTTGGATCACATACCCACAAATATTTAAAGTAAGTGAAACTTGACATATATAATTATGAAGATAATATAAGATGATTTTAATGGTTAGAATGGTCAATCTTACATTCTATGAAAAGTTATTAAGTGGTGTACGTGTCCAAATTTGACAACAGGTGACTAGGTGAGAGTGAGAAAAACAAATCTAGATCATTAGATCTTAACATTAATGGTGAAGATTAAAACATACAAGTCATATGAGTCATTTAAAAAGTCACATGATTGTTTCAAGTGATCATATGACTTTCTAAATCTTTTAATCTTGACCATCTGCATACAATTGTATGGTCCATATTTCCTCCTCTCTCTCTCTCTCTCACACACACACACACATATGCATATATATTTCAATTCATGACAAAGCCTTGTGTAGAAGAAAAATGCAAGAATTAAGGGAACTTCTCATTGTCAAGGGACGGTAGATGTCAATGGCAAGAAAGAAAAGCCTTGTCACCCATTACTTAATAATCGTAACTACTCTTAGAAGTGATGAAACTATATGCTTTCCTTCAATAAGCACTAAGGTTAATAGGAAAAATCATGGCAAAGTTGAAAAAGGGATTGAAATTATCACAAAGCCTTACATTATATGCTTCTTCTGTCCACAACAATGTAAGTAAAAATTATCATGCTAAAAATTGAAATTTCACCATGTGAAAAAATGTATAGCCATGATTAGGAATAAAAAGCAGCCAAGATCTAGTCCTGATGCAAAGTAGCATATTTTGTAAATAGTACTCTTAAGAGCATGCATCTGAATCTAGATCAAATGGTTCAAAATGAATCACAGATCTACACACGTGAAAATGCTTTCAGACTTAATAACCTGACAAATAAAACAACTTCAACAGGTATACACAAAGAATAATAAGAATGATGCTAGCACTTTCTGTCTGCACACCTTGAGAAGCTCAGCATAAGTAACTTCATTCTTTCCTATCATTTGCTTTTCCATTAAGTCCAAACATTTTCTTGCTAGAATTATACTCTGCATTTCCGTGCAGAATCTTAAGAGACTATTGTACAGTGGGAGAACTGGAAAGAGACATTTACTTCCTCCAAGCAAATCCATCATATCAATGGCCTGAACAAATACAACAGGAAAACAGAAGAAAAATTAAATTCTTGTAACTAAGATGAAGGTGATTCACAAACAAATGCCCCATATACAGCACTTGACATGCAATTCAATGACACGACAAAAATAGCTGTTAAGATACTTGGACCTAACTCACTTCCAAAAGTTAGCTCATGAGAGGAGGCCTGCCTTAGCCCTTATAAGGAATATTCTGGCTCTATTTCTAACCAATGTGGGACATCTTAACACACCTCCCTCACACTCAGGACTAGACATCTGGTGCGTAAAATTTGCAGGACTGGACATTTGCACAAGTGGACCCAATAGGATTGGACATCTATAGGCAGCCCAACATTCAAACTGAATAGGCTCTGATACCAATTGACATGGCCAACCACTTTCTATGTCCTTACAATGAGTTGGGGGAGTATTTAGGTAATGGGTAGGACACCACAATGCAACCCCAAAACCTTAAGGCAATAGGTACATGAGTCCATCTCTTTATAAACTCCTAACTTGCTCATATCCCATTCTATGTGGGACTCAATTCACACTTGATTCCAACAATAGCAATATATGCAAATACATTTTCAGGAGATATAAAGGGAAAACTAATTTTTTCTTCCAAATCACTGAAAATGTAATGGATTTATCTAATACCAATATCCCCTTAATCCATCCCCTCTCCTCAGTGAAACCCAAGATTGATAGGAAGGTAAAGGAAAAAAATACTCAGTTATACTATTTATAAGACTAACAGTTTACCTCTTCCAAGTAACCCCCTTTACAAAGGGCCTGCATCATAAGAGATAAGCATATATTGTTCATGCTAACTCCTTTTGACTCCATGAATCTCCAAATCTCCATAACAAACTGCAACAAATCAAAATGGGAAGGAATAAATTTGACATTCACAATAGATTTTACCATCCTGATTAGAGAGAATTTCAAGGATAGTATCCATACTCATGCAAAAAGAAAAATTGAGATATTTATTCTGCTTCCAACTCACAAAGAAGAGAACATATAGTTGTTATTAGCTAATTGTTGCTGAAAAGCATAATATGATTTGTTGTCATCTAGACTTGGTTGGGTTAGTTACATTACAGTTTATGCTAATATCACAGTTGGAAGTTAATACATTGATGAGAATCAAAGTTGTGCAGACATTGGATCAACTTGTAAAATTGTAAGGGATATAATTGAATTGAAGCTATAATCTTCATTTCCTCCCATACTTATACAGCCATACTTAAAATAAATTTTACATATTTTGCTAACAGAGAAAATAAAAGGGGATTGGGGCCCTTAAAAAATGAAGTTTATAAGATATTAGGAATCAGCAACTACAGATTTTCTTATTTAGCATACCAATGGATCAGGAGACCGTGCACAGTACTTTAAAATATCAACAAAATTGTCAGCTGTTAATGAGTGGCTTCCAGAACCAAAACCAGAAAGTAAGTCTGAAGCCTTTCTTCTCTCACCCAAGCAGAGTGCCTTGACTATTTGCATCTGCATGGACAATCCTGGTACAGGTTCCATAAATTCAAGACCTGCATTTTATTATACACTATCAACTGGTGTGTTAAGCAAATGAAAGTTACTGATTGACCAGCTAAAAATAAGACCTTAATTTTGTTGTAGAAGGTTTTAGATTGTCAACTAATTAATCAGAATATACTGTGGGTACGTGTTAGAAACTGTATCAAAAGCGCCCTGAATTGGGATAAATTCACTTTATTATTAATTAATTCTGGTACCGATAGATTGAAGCACCAGAACAGAAGTATAATTGAAAATGAAAGGTAACACATGGTGTTTGAGAGACCCTACACTCTCCCTAACTGACTTCTATCTTTTTTTTCCTCCCCTTTCTTCTTCTTCCTAACTGCTTTCTTAAAGCTATCCATGTCAACTTTCACCCATAAAACCCTTTTTATTGTTGTACTTCAATCACTCAATTATTTCCTTACATAAATCACTCAAACCCCCATGATTGCTGTACATGCAATCTGTTACATCAATCATTCAATTCCCCTTCTGTCATTTCCTAATATAGACCGTATTCATTGGTGGTTTCCTAACAGCATGGCTTTAAAATTAATTATTAGAAAAGTTAATAAGTCTCACTAATATGGCAATTTATGACTGAATGATTTTATATTAACATTATCAATGTATTCCAATTAAATTCTAGTAATAATAATCAAATTCACGCATTTACAAATGCACATAATATGTGCAATATTTATCAAAAAATAAAATAAGAAAGAAAGCTATTGAGCTGCAATTGATTTGTTAGGTGAGCTGAAAAGAGAAGAGTATCACAAATCAATAGTCATATTAAATCTCTATTACCTGTTGTGGTGGTGAGATTTCGAGAGAAAAGGATTTCACCTCCCTAAAATAACAGGAAAGCGTTAGATTAGGAAAGAGAAAAAGTAAGAATACAGAACATAGATAAATACATGGACATGGTGATGATGCCACTTTGATTTACAAAGTGAAATTGAGCGCAGAAAAACCCTTCCTCGGAATCCATGCATATGCATTCTTTCACTTTCGCCTGCAGCACCGGCTACTCTGTCTCTACTTCACTTGTTAAGCAGTAGTGCCAGGGACATTAATAGCTGAACCTCCACTAACATGGCATTTGCTTTGCTTTGCTTTGCTTTGGTTTAGACATGGATCTCCCCTCATGCACTCCCTTCGTCTTTGGGCCTGGGCCTTGAGAGATAATTACCAGATCATGTTCAGCCTAGAGTTTATTTCCTTTATAAAAATTAGAGCTGTCATAAAGCCCAACTAGCCCAACCCTAGTCCTAGCGCATATGTTTTAGGGCCAAAATCCCCACAGGGATAGAATATGGCCTTGTTGGCCAAATTTTTTTATTTATTTTTTAAATGAAAGAATTTTTATAGCAACTCAAGTAGTTTAATAAAATCATGGTATAGTTGTAAGTCCTTTTTACTTTTCTCATTTTCTTCCCCACTTATATCTTTTGCTGTTCTAACAAAATATGTTATACTCGTACAGCAACTCAACTCAAAACACCTTAATCAAAGTTTTGAATTGATAGAAGAATACTATTAAACATCTTCATCATTCTTTTATGATCAACAAGTCTTAATTTTTCATGTTACTTAGACTATTAGTCTATTAGTAAACATTTGTTGTAAATTCATGTTTAGTTGATCACTGTACTTATCTCGATCTCAACCTTCATCAGATAAATGATAAATCTAACTTAGAATAAGAAAATCTCTTCAATTTAATTCATATTTCTGTTGTCGAATCATTTGGCATACCTTGTGTTATCAAGTCTTATACATGCATTCTAATTGATACTTGAAATACAGTAGATTTGTCCCTCTGTATCTAAAGTTTCTACATTACAATTTATAACACAAGTTGTTGTAGTCCCTGTGTATTCTATATAAATAATATATTATTCTGTGCATAGTGTGGATAATTTTATCAAATGCAACAAATTCACACGTGCAACAGCACGTTTTACATACTAGTTTGTCTTCAATTTAGCAAAATAACACGGATAATCTTGGAACTTGTCAAAAGCAATATCCTATGACATAAACTTAACTAAATGTAGATGAATAATATAATTTGTATTTTTTCTATACATTATTAAAACAAACAAAAGACAAAATAATATAAGCATTGCATGACTATAGTAGTGAATTTTTGTTGCTGTAGTAAGACAACGCTGCAATCAATAATTAAGTTGGTTTGAATTTATTCATAAAGGAAAGTATTACATTTCTCAAAAAAAACCTTGAAAAGAGGATTGCAGGCTTTGTGAAATCTAAATTTCAGTAATAAGGACTTATATTGCACGGAGACTCTAATGCAGGAAATTCTATGGTGATATCGTACTATGATGCTCACTTGGTAAGTGCTTTAAAACAAACAAAGCTAAAATCAGTAAAGTGTACCTTAACATGAGAATAGAGTCGACAAAGTAAGTAAGAAAAAAGGGGGGTACCTCAATCAATACAATAAAGCCCATATTACAAGACCCAAACCAGCAAAGAGGTACGAAACAGAAGAATGAAATGCAATAAAGATAAGCGGGAAAATGAGTAGGAATGCAACTAAATTGCCCGAATCAAGAATTCACAGATTAGTTACCTGAGCAATCACAGATTCTGAGGGAGAGTGACCAGTGTATGAACAGGGAACCAAACGAACAAAACGAGATTCATGAATAGGGAAATCACAAACGAGTTGGAGATGGCGTCTTACTGCCGTTGCCGCGAAAATGGCGAACGATAGTGCCTCACTCAAGATTTTGGGTTTTTTCAGGGTCTGGACCAACCCATGGGTTATCTCCAATTTAGGACCCAACTAACTTTTTCAGTCAGTATAATACCAGCTTTCAATGGGTTTCATTTTTGTTGACCCAAAAACCCACTGTGGGTTCAATTTAATTAGCTCCTTAGAATATAAAAATATTAATTAGGCTCTATCTTAATAATTTTTTTACTTTTTAATGCAATTTTTCATAAATTTTTAGAAATTTTATTATTTTTAATATATTTATATTTTATAATATTATCTTTTTTTAACTTTTTAATAATTAATATGATATAAAATTTGACTAGAAAAAATTTGAAATAGTATAATTTATTTTTAAAGTATTAATATACCAATTAATTTTAATAATTTTCTTCATTTATATGATTTAGTTAAAATGATCTTATAAATAAACAAGGTTTAAATAATATTTTAGTTCTCATACATTATTCTTTTTTTTTAATTTAATATCTATAGGTAAAAGTTTGTAAATTAATTCCTATATGAAATTTAATTTTTGATTTGGTCTCAATAGTTACTTCGAGTTATGATAACATGAACTTTTATCCTAAGTGACTAATATGCTCTAACTTGCATTTGTAAGAGGTTAGATGTTAAGTTATTATTGGATGATACAATTTAAATGTTACTATAACTTGAAGGTGGTTATGATGGAACTTTAGAATACATCTTTCATCTGCCTCCATCTCTATATTTTAGTTTGTAATGAGAAGTCAATTGCAGAGCAAAGAATAGAGTAAACTATAAGAGTTTATACTTGCAAGAGGGGGAATAGAGTGTCATTATGTGATTGTGGGAGTTAGATGAAGATTTACACATCGTAGTCTCCTCAAAATTCAAATAGAATATTTTGTTGATGTCCAAACTTTTTGAGTAAGTTATTTGTGATAATAGAATATTTTATCATCTTATTCTATTTTAGTTTGTGATAGTTTACAGTAATCAATTATTTGGTTTGTTAGGAAAAATAGAGTTATAGCTTTTTTAGTGGTTAGATGAGCCAAATTTTATCATGTAATGAAGACAATTAAAAAGTAACAAAATAGCATTATAAAAATAAGTATGCAAGCACAAGATGATAGTAATGTTATCATGGTGTATGACAGTAATGGTGGTACTAAGTTTTTGCTTTGCAAAATTTATAGAGTTTGAAGCATGTAGTTGACATAAAGTTAATTTAATGATGGGTAGAGTAGAGTCAGACAATGAATGTATGTATGTGAACAAGAATCAAATGTACAATTGTGGGACAAAATAGCTATGTAATAGTTGATTTTTCAAGGATAAAATATATGTTACTGTGTTATAAAATAAGATCTTTTGACTTAAATAGCAAATTGATTAAATTGGAAGCAAAAATTATTACAATTAAATAAATCAAGTATATATACACTGTAATTATTATAACTAAACAAATATTAATTCTATTGAAATGACAAAATTTCTCTTGTAATATTAAGATATGATGACAACTTGTATAATAACACACAAATGTCATCTAAAAAGTATGGCAAAAAATAAATGGTTCGTATCATTGCCCTTTCCAAAAGATCCTTTGTACACATACAAAGGTACTAGAAAAAAAAAGACTTAAAAGTGTTGCATCCACAAATTCTGAAGTTGTGTTTTTTGTTTAATCAATTGGGAGAGAGTTTGATCTTAGAGTTCCTAGGTTGAAGGAGAAAACCAATACTTGTAAAAGGCAGTGGTGTAGCAATAGTGGTTTGTTGAGAAGAATTAGTAGGCAATGATGCACTCATTGTTGAAGTAGGTGAAACTACAGTTCAATGGCTTAAGTTGCAGATAGAGTTGATGAAGTATGTGCAAGTGTAAATCTAGTAGTTGTATGTGCATATCCAACAAACTTCTTGCCTTTTCCGTTTGGTGCAAATCCAATACTTTTCCCCTTTCCCTTTAGGTCCAGATCTTGCAATGGTTTCAACCTTTCCCTATGATGCAAATTTTGTTTTGCTTGCTTTCTTTAAAGAGGAACTACAGTAAATTATTTAGCAGACAATACATTTTTACAATCATTTCCATTATAGACATATGTTCCTGTTAAGGATACACGAGTCTTCTAGATACTCCTCTATAGGTGTTTAAGCTTACGCAACTCTTTGAATTGTAGATTTTGGCGCCCACCGTGGCGCCTGCATTGCCTCGAATTTTAAAAAAAGAAATCATGGTACTCACAAGAAGCCAGTAGGAGGGACAGAATTATCAAGGAGGAACTTCTCGTCAACAAGAAAATGTGACACTCAATCAATCGATCCCTGAGGTTTTAGCAGAAAGAGGGGGAGATTGATGAATCCATATTTTACTAAATTTTTATACATCATTTATTACTTTTTATAGAAAAGAATAGACTTAGATAGTGTAAATAAGATAAATATTCCAATTAGGCTAAATAATATAGGTTTCTTAGTTTTGGTTAATTTACATTGATTTAGATAGTTTATTTTACATGTTTGGATCATTTGAATATTGTGGCAGGAATTCCCAAGCTTATTTTGAAGAATTATTGGATTTTGAGGAATTTGAGGTGAAAGTAACTACTTTCAAGATTGATAATGACAATTACAACAAGCCACTTCCAGCAAAGGGACCAAAGTGATCACTTTCAAAGCTTAAAGTGACAACTACAACAACCCAGAATCCACTAAACTTGTGCATGTTTACTATGAAAGAATGAAAGTAATTACTTTGGAGGGCGTCAGCTTTAGTATAAATAGATTTTTGCCTTAGGGCAGAGAGTTCTTACACTTTTTGAACCTTTTCTCTTCTTTACTAAATTTAGGACGTTTTCCAGAGCTTAGGGCAACCTTGGGTGACAACCAAGGGTCCAACCTAGGGTTTAGTTTCTCATTTCTCTTGCTTTTACATTAATGTTAATGAATTTTCTGCATTTCCCAACTGCGTTTTTGACCCCCATTTCCATGGAGGACTACATTTTGTGTAATCCTTAGTAAGTTCACATTGATTCTTGAGTTCCTTGTTTTTAATGATAATATAATTCCTTTCTTCTTATGAATTACTTCTTCCTTGTCTCTTGAATTGAATTAATGGTGAATGAGGGGGATATTGCTTAATTAACCTTAATTCGTTTAAGGAGATTCTAAATTAGGGATTGCTTAATCCTAGATTTAATCCTAAGGTTGCGTAACTTTGGGATGAGAGATTAGAGCCTAACAAATTGCGTAATTTCGTTGGGAACATAAGGTTGATTTTCGCTTGTTAAATTAACCTAATTCATGGGAGAAAGGATGAATGTTAAATCTTGAGTGGAATGAGGATAGAATCTTTGTGGATGAACTAAGGATTGTTGCTTTCTATTGTTTGAATTAATTCAACTCGTTTGATTGTTACTCTTTGTTTTGAATTGAAATCACAAAACCCCCAATTTAATTGCTTGTTCAATTAATACCTTCAACGTGTTTAATGAATATTAATAGCCAATGTTCACGGGAGACAATCTAGGGTAACCCTAGTACTACATTAATTTGTTTAAATTTTGATGAGTATTTGTGACAAATCTTTTAAACACCTCAAGGAAAAACCCATCATCAGAGATGAAAGCCTTTTTTCTGTAATAAGATAGCTCCAGGCCAAGATGAGGGAAATGCAACAGGCTAGAGAAAGAGATGCTCTTGAGATGTCGACCTTAAGGAGGAAGAACGGTAACTTGAGGGAGGAAATTAAAACCCATATACCCTCTCAGACTACCCCTTTCGCTCAAGAGCAGGGAGAGCCCTCGGCACTGCAAGAAAAACCAAAGGGAACTCCACAAATTGGAACCCTTACTGAACGAGACGATGTCTCGAGTTAGAGCCCTTTTATTCAGCCTATCCCAGGAGAACAGTTGGATATTTTCACAACTCAAGTCGGCCTATATATAGAAAATGACGCCTTGTTATGCAGGATATTTCCCACTTCCCTTAAGGGACCAGCACTTAAATGGTTTACCAGGTTATCCCCCCTCGTCCATTGATTCATTTGCAACCCTGACCAGACGATTCAACCTACAGTTTGCTGCAAGCTGTCCCCACCCTCTAACGTCCCTGGCACTTGTCAACATCCGTCAAGAGAAAAGAGAAACACTAAGAGCGTTCATGGAGCGCTTTGGCAAAGTTGCATTGTCAATCCACAATTTGGAGCTGGCAGTGGCTATGCACCATCTCACTACAACCCTGAAACCAGGCCCTTTTGTTAATAGTATTTGCAAAAAGCCACCTGTGGATTTAGATGAACTGAGAAGTCGAGCTGCTAAGTACATGCAAACGGAAGAATTGGCCGAATATCGAAATTAGGTGTGATTGGAATAAGGATCTAACTCAAAAGAAGCAGACAAAAGAGAAGCTTTCAAGCCTAGGCAAGAAAATAAGGATCGAAGCAGTGATGCTGAAAGACCACCTAGAGGACCTAAGTATCCTTCTCATACAACCCTCAATACCAATCGATCTAGGGTGCTTGACCAAGCTCTGGCAACAGAGATACTGACCATGCCTAGGCATGCCAACACCCCCCTCGGGTAGACAAGTCCAAGTCTTGCCAATATCATAGAAATAGAGGGTACACCACCGAGGAGTGCACGGCCCTGAAGGACTGCATCGAGGATTTGATTACAAAAGGGCAATTGAAGGGTTTTGTACAAACAAAACCCCTCGGTCATTCTGAAAAAGGTAGAGACCGTTACCCTAACCCACCAAGAAGATACAATGACAATAAGCCTGAACGACAATGTAGCCGGTCAAGAGAACCTCCCGTCAAGCGATATGATGAGCGTGAAAAATATCCCAAGAGGATTAACAATGCCATAGCTAGTGGGTTTGCTGGAGGAGGATCGACTAACTCAGCTAGGAAGAGGCATATGAGACAAGTTCACTCTGTGAATAACATATTATTAGGCAGCAGAATCCGAATCCCTCCCATTACATTCACTGATGAAGATTTCCAAGGAGTGGATCCAGTTCAAGATGATCCCATGGTTATAAGTGTCGATATCCTTAACTGCACAGTCCAAA